TATATATATATATATGTATATATATATATATATAACACACACATACATACATACATATAAATTTGTATAGGAAAATCATCAGTTGAAAAGTACAGAACTTTATCTATTAATATATGCTCGTTAAGTTAATCAAAAGAGATAGTTTGAATTATCTTACATATGTTCCAAGAAAACTCATTCAATTTAAGCTCTGGTATTCCCTTGCGTATCAAGAATGGGCCAAGCTCCTCAGCCTCACCATAGCCAATGGAAGAACAACCGGGACCTGAAATTATAAACAACTAATAAATCATCCATCATATTGTTAAATTCACAAACAATCATTTTTATCTATTAATATTTAATCTCATACAAATCCAACTATTAAAAATTCTTAGACTACTAAACCAATGAGTTGCTAAACTAAATATTAATAAACAAAGGAAAAAAATAAAAAAAAATAGAAGGCAAGTAATAACTTCTGATCAATATAGACGAAAAATATTATGTGCTAAATTTAATTTTTAATGCAAAATATTGTTTTTTAAATTTCAAGCTAATTAAATCAATTACGAATTCCCATTTTCCTCATATTCAATCCATTACAAAATTTTTAAATAACTTCTTCTAGTGGGAAAGAGAGATAAAACATGATTTGATATATTAGTTGAAAAACTCTTTCTCAACTTTGAAGATTAAGCAAAAATATTAAAGCTAAGTACAATGTATTTACATCAAAATATCTATTTGCAATTAAATATCCATAACTAAAGTCAAAACTCTTATGTGCTACAAAAGTAACCTCCTTAAATGAGAGTATGTACATTCAATTAAAAGTTTATTTTTAACACAACCTAGTTTCATTTGACATGACTTTACTTGAGCATGTGAAGACTGCGTAAGGGTAACTTGTTCTTAAACTTTACATAACTATAATAGAAGCAATCAAGAATAATGGTTGCTTACATCCTATGAACCACTTAATATGGTTGGTCCAATTTTTCAATTTTAATAGAACTTAATGCAGAAGGTGTGGATAAAAAAATGAACTAAACTTAAACATGATACATCAATTAATAATTAAATAAAATTTAGCCTAAATAGGCTAGTCTAATAAATATAGGCCAACCATTTTTTTTAATTCAATACACTAAGACATTTCTTATATACAACTAGAAAATATCCTCCCAAAGCTTAACTTCTAATTTTCAAATTAGAATTATTCTTTTCGTTTAAATAGATGGTCCTTCGATTTAATTAAGTCTACTCGTAAAAATATTTTAAAGCCAATTTTATTGAAAATTTTGAATACCTAATCGATTATTTCTCTCACACTGCCCTTGGCTTGAGGAAAAAAAAAAACATTTGGGATAATACTAAAAGTTATGTCTATATTGCTTTCATAAAGTAGCAAATTTGTTGACAAGAACTTAATTAATAACTTAGCCTCTCTCCTATAGTCCTATCGTTTCCAAAGAATATGACCCCCCAAACCAAGTGGTTGGTCCTATATCTGGAAGACGACAAGACTATAATGGCGGAGCAGTTTCTCTTCACACATAAAATGAATTTCACTGTTTTTTGCTTTAAGATTAGAGCTATGCTGTGCATTCAAAATTAATATTGTTTACGGAAGAAGATGCATGTCAACTACACCAATATTATTTTTTTAATAATTTGCTACCAAATATTCTGGACTTGAGCGAAGCGAACTTTACTCATTCAGTGACTGTAAGATTCTAAGAGTGAATAAAATGAACTTGGAGGAAAATGAATAGCCCCACGTCACGGCTCCCATTCAAAGATAACATCAGATAACCTAAGTCAAGCTTTTTACCATTCAAAAATCTAAATCAACACATCTCACCATCACCTCTTTAGAATAAGACAGCGAAAATAATGTAATGTTTTCTAATCGTTCGCTTCAATATCATTCACGTCTTGCATATGATATCATTTGGTGGGGCGTTTAGTATATTAGTTTGCATGCAACCTAAAACATCAATAAAAACTTGGAAAAAAAATTCTCTAAATTTATATTTCTCTCCATAGACAAAATTGCAAATACAGCTCCAAATATATACATATAAAGAAATAGTACGGTAATAGAAGATCTATTTAATTTAGTAAATAATAATTTTGGAGAAACATTATTTAGTCTCAAGTTGTAATTATATCAGCCATAAATTCTCAAAATAGCAAAAAAGAAAAAAAAGGAAGAAAGAAAGTTCACGGAGTCAAATGTCAATGACTAAGCTTTGCGTAAATTTTTGACGACTGTGGGAATCCCGAAAGTGATATGGAGCAGGCAACGGTGTACTGACCCAACATCCAGCCTAGCATGCTTACCAAAAGTCACTCAAAAAAATTTTTTCTCAAAGTTTATGAAATAAACAAATGACAATTTCAGTTAAAATGTAATTTCAGCAATCTAATTTCCCGAAAGAAATTAAAAATCATTTAGAACTTATTAATTTATCTATTGCCATACCTCCGTTGAGCCAAAGGAGAAGAGGCTTCTTTGAGGCCTCATCCTGCGCCTCAAAAAACCAGTAGAAAAGAGCCCTTCCGTGGCTCTGGTTAACCGTTATATAACCGGAGTATTGCCTGAACTTTACCGGGGGCTGGCCGGGAAGCTTGGTCACGCGATCGGCCGCTTGATGAGTACTGACTTCATAGTCGAGCTCAATAGAATTGGCGGTGAACAAGAAGAGAATAAGCAACGATGAAAGAAAAATCTCACCCATTTGATGGAGAGAATGGCCTAGGTGAGTGAAGAATGCCTCTTGTAATACGATTGAACGAATTAAAAGAGAGAAAGGGGAGGAAGGGCTATGCCTTTAATAGCTTGCTTGTATTGGTCTTTAGCTTGTATGGAAGAAGTGGCAGAGAATTCAATGCACTTTTCCATATAAAATGTCTTCCTCTTTATGTGGATAAGAGACACTTACGTTTCATATTTATTTTACATTAACGAGAGGATATTTGTTATTTTGCGCTGAGTTCAGGGAATACACGACATAAATTTTTTTTTATTTCTTCCATTAATTCCTTGGAACGTAATGAGGGAAATAAATAGCAAAAAAGAATTTAATTTTCTGCTATGGCAGTAAACTTCGTTGTCTCACTGTGACGAATGTGGCAGTAAACTTCGCTGTCTCACTGTGACGATGGAACTATGCAACAGAATTTTATTTCTGGATATCAAAATGCGTTAAAGCACAAGAATAAAAATAAAATATAAGAAAAATAATTGTTCAATTCAATGTTGAATGAAGAAAAAAAAATTACGATTATATATAAGTTTTATTTTACGAATTCAAAACATTATACCTAGAAACACGAAAGATTCGTCAATGTAAAGGTAAAATTTAGTTAACAAATATGCTTGAATAAAGCACAAGACTAAAAATAAAATCTAACAAAACTACTCAAAATAAAGTGAAGCAAGGAAAAAATGAACTAATTTTGTTCTCTTGAGTCAAATCATTTCTCTAAGGGTGGATTTGGGGTGGTAGTACGCGACACCACACCAACATTTCTTTTCCATTTGACAAATCTACGTTTTGCTTACTTTTAGAAAAGTTGCAGTTGAAAGCAACAATTTTCAAATCAGACCTAGCTAGCTGGGATGACTTCTAGAAAGCTGCACTGTGACTTTTAGAAAAAAAAATTTCTAATAGCCACTGTAGCTTTTTGTACAAAAGCTTCTCAGCAACTTATTCAAATTACTGCAGCTACCCCAAACAAACGTTAAAACTCATTATTTGGCATTCTCCTCTTGAACTTTCTTCTCTAGACAAACCACCACTCATTCATTTTCTACTCAAACTGTAAGTCCACTACAATATTCCTTAACTTCAATATATGTCTCCACACAATAACTATTCTAGAAACAACTCTGCAATTACCAAATTAAATCCAAAATAACTTTAAAATGATTTAGTGTGAGATTTTTTGTACGTCGTCGCACACTATAGAACTTTTTGGAACTATCTAGACGATCAGAGACGATATTTTGAAGAATAAACTACAGGAAAGTTGTGGATTAGTGTCAAATTGAATTCTGATGTAAAATTTACATCCGATTTGTGTACTTTTAGCGTCACCCACTGTTTTAAGATTGAAATTTTTGACGAAGAAGAGTTGCATCGAATTAGCATCGGAATTATTCGAAGCTGAGTTTACTTAATGTTGTCGGGCAATTCTAACACTAATTCGAACACAAAAGCCCTTAAATAATCAGCTCCCGACCGAAACTCCATTTCCTCTTGATTTCTTCTCTGTGCAGTGCGGGATGCGAAACCGACAAGCCCTAGGCAAATCCAATGAAATTCGGTGATTCTAACCACTTGGAGTGACTTCGGGGATATTTCCACCCTCCAAATCTTGTATCCGGCAAGGTGAACCCCTTCTTCAAGCTTTTGATAAATTTTTTTTTTTAGCTTTTTATTTGTTCTCTCTTGATGTTTTGGGGTTTTAAGTTTCTATTTTATGTATATTTCATGTTCAGGCATTAGATGTATTCAGGTTTAGGCATTAGATGTATAATGAAAATAATTGACGTTATTATGCAATTTTTTTTATTATTTTTGAACTTTGAAGTTTAGGTGTTAAACGTATAAATATATAATGATTGTGTAACATGCATGTATAATTTGAAAAAAAACATAAAGGTTTTAGATTTGTAATTAAAAAACAATGTGCAGAATGCATGTTGATTAAAAAGATGCCAGACGAAGTGCCATATGGAATTTTGAACTTGATTATTGGTATTGGACTTCACATGGTAAATTTAGACCAGATGTTCAGACTTTAGTATAGTCATGCTAGAGCCTCATCAAGTTATAACGCTCCACCAATTCATGATTCGTGCATGTATGAGGAAGTGATTTTTGTATTCAACTTAACTCAATCTATGAGGAGTTAGCCCCAGAGGGTACCACGAGGCTTTATGAAGAAGTCCCTTTTTATATGGATGAAAATGTTGAGATTAATGAAGAAATTTTAAGTTCCTTATCATCTGGATCATCAAATGAAACATAATAAAAAATTATTTGTATGCTTAGATGTTATATTCTACACTATCTTGCTTTTACTTTTGCTTCTTGATTTGTTCTATTTTTGCTTTTTTGTCTTTTATTACATACTATTTCTTTTTACTAATTCTAATTATTTTTCCATTTGCAGATGGTAGGTTAATCCACTTTAAAATTACCTATTTTATATGCAAAATTTATACCCATTTTTTTAGGATATTATGCTTTAATGAAAGATATTTTGTTTTTTTTTGTTACAGATTCAAGAAAAAGAGTTTAAGAGCAAAAATAAAAATAAAAAATACATCAAAATGGAGCAAAATGGACCAAACCAATAAAAATTGTCAAACGGGCCAGTTGATGATCGCGGCTAGCGTCTAGGCACGATAATTTTGAAGTATAGGAGCTAGAGTCGGTCTCTAGAAGATCCATTGAATGAGACCAAATTTTGAAGAGATGTCTGAAGCAAACTTAAAAACCTGAGAGGGCTAAGATTTCTCTACCTAATGAGTATCACATTTTACTTCGGAAAGAGCCTTGGCGATCGTCCGAGGGGAGTGCAAATAGTTAGGGAGAAAAGATTTGATGGGCGTAGAATTAATGTTTATTGGGTGACAAGTTAGATTCTTTTATTAATTTGTTTTAGAGATTAGAACTAAGTGTCACTAGGAGGCCCTATAGAGAGGTCACGGTGGGTAATTAAGAAGTGAGAGATTAGAACCTACTCAGCACTACTATACATGTCGAACTGAACTTTAAATTAGTCACTGTTCTTTATGCTCGAAAGAGGTAAAGAATAGGTTGCTCTCATTTGTCACAATATGACAGTTAAAGCTTTAAACATTTTAAATCCTACTTTGATTATAAATTATTTGCAAGGAGAAAGTCTCCTTTTATATATATCTTGAATTTTCTAAGACTCCGCATTTACTTTTAACTTGCATTTAAAGGAATTAGTAAACTTTATTTCATTACATAAACTACTTTAAATTTTTTCTGCAATCATAAGTAAAGGTTTTTCATAGTTAAAATTTCTAAATTTTCATGTGGAATCGATACTAGAGTTTTTAAGGAAAACTATATATTACATGAAACGAAACAGATACTTAATTCGCACCCCTAGTGACAAAAGTGTTAATCTAAATTTTATAATGATACAATTTTTCTCACTAGCCGCTGAATATAAATTGGGTAAAGATTTTTGGCCTTATTCAAGAACATAAATATCTACGTAATTGCTGGGTCAAGTTTTTGGCGCTGTTGCCGAGGAACTTAAATAAAAATTTTATTTCACAACTTTTTGACTTAGAAACCTTATTTGAATTGTAGAATAACTGAAAAAAAGTTTATATAATAGTTTTAAAATTATTTCAATTTTTGAAAATTACAGAAACATAAAAAAATTGCAAAAACTGAAAAAAAATAAAAAATTTTATTCAAATATTTTATGTATTTTATTTTCTGAATTTACCCTTTTTGCATGTGAAGTTTGCGATATGAAGGTTTAGTACTTTATGATTTTGAAATATAATGAACTATAAGAAAAATTTGAAAGCAAAATCAACTTCATTATTTTGAAGAAATGGCAAACACAACACAAAATAACACTGAGATTTTAACTACTGAAAATGAACATTAAATTTTACGAAGAACTTTAAAAAATTATGCAAACCCTACATCAGATGGAATTCACTTAAGTATTCAAACTCCTATTATAGTAGCTAACTCATTTGAAATTAAACCTACAATAATACAAATGGTGCAAAATAAATCATTTCAAAGGGACACCATCTGAGGATCGAAATTTATATCTTGCAATTTTTCTAGAACCATGTGCTACATTCAAATATGATAGTGTATAAAATAACACTGTTAGACTTAGAATTTTTTATTTTTTCCTAAGTGATAAAGCTAAGATGTGGTTAAATTTGTTAGCACCTAGATATATTAGAACTTGGGGGCATTTTGAACAAAAATTCTTGGCTAAATACTTTCATCCTTCAAAAACTGCCAAGCTTAGAAATGATATTACTTCTTTTACTCAATGTGAAAAGGAGTCAATTTATGAAGCCTGAGAACGATTTAAGGAAATCCTTAAAAAAGTGTCCACATGATGCTCTGCCTGATTGGTTAATCATTCAAATACTTAATAATGGGTTAATAGGTTCCCTTAGAATAATAATTGATGTTGCTGCTGGAGGATCTTTAATGTCAAAATAATTTGAAAAAGCTTATGAATGACTATTAATAAATTTCAGTGGCCCTCAGAAAGGGTAAATCCTAAGAGAGTAGCTAGTATTCATGATAATGATGCTATATCTATTTGGGCATCCCAAGTTGTTATGATATCTAGGAAATTAGATAATTTTGCAATGAGCTTTTCTCTAACACCACAAGTGAGTGAGAAAATTTTATTAGGACAATTTACTCACTATCTATCATTAGAAACTTTACAAACAATTACTCATAAACCCAATAACCCATTTTCAAACTTTTATAACCCAGGTTGGAAAACCACCCCAGCTTAACTAGAATAATAATAATTCTGTTGGTGGAAATCAACAATGGGGGAACACTCAAGTGAACACATCATGAAACGAGAACAACCAGGGTAGTTCTAACTATCGATCTTTTTATCCTTCAGGATTCAATAACCAATAGTTTAAGGAAAAAAAGTTGTCTATAGAAGAAGTAGTTTTACAAATGGGTAATCAAATACAATGTCATGGTGCTGCAGTAATAAATATTAATAATCAACTGAGATAAATTGCAAATGCA